TTTCAGACACATCAAGCCTTGAAAGCAATTTTTTCGCATTCTCTTTTGTGTTTTCTATTTGCTTCAAGACGCGTCAACTTTTATTGAATTCAAGCTCTTGGTTCTTTAAATAGAAAGCAAAGAGACAAGAAAACTTGAAACGAATTGACGGTATGGAGGTATCTGTACTCTTACCCTCTTTTCTCACCTCCTTCGCCAAGGAACGAGCAGATTTGAAAGCAAGACTTTACATTTCTGAAAGCTGACTAAGTTTTTAGTAAATTAACATTCTTGAATTAACCTATAGGCGTTTTGATTTCAATTATCATCCCCTCCCGCAGTACACTAAATAATATTTGTGCATGAAATTTTATACTTCAACTGCTAGGGTGTCAAGCAAGTCAAACAAAATCGAAAGCGATCTCTTCAAGTGTAATCAGCTGCTGTGAATGAATGCTACCCCCCAAACGGGAGCAATACAGCGAGCTTGATATTTGTCTGGCAAGTGCAATCGTACTGCTGACTCCTTGACATCGGCGCATGGACGCGCATCTGGTGGATGCCCATAAATGCCACAGTGTCTATATACTCGTATGTATGTATGTGGGTGCGCGTCTGTTTGTGCGTGGCGTATGTTTATTGAGTAATTGATACGCCACTCACGCGTATGCCTTTTAAATACACACCACGACAGCGCATCTCCGCCCCTTCCAAGCCACTAACGCAATGTATGTGCCTACTTCGCCCCTCATCCTTCATATTGTTGTCATGTTGTTGCTGGTCTGTCATAAATGTCGGCTAAATTGAGTATTCACTTATTTATGAGCTCGTTGCGCATACAAATTTTTACAGTTGCATGCCACTGTGTCGAAAGGGCGCAATAGAAAAGCAGACGTTTGCGGGGAAGTGCTACTTGTGGTTTTAAAATCGAAATACGAAAAAGAAAAAGTGTTGTTGCAACGCACGCAGGGCTTCTTTGCTTTGCTACACATGTAGCTTACATTAGCCGCAGTAGCACACGTATCAGCTAAATTGTTAAATAAAAGGTTTAAATATAAACTGTTGCATGTTCTTGCCTTGCCTTGCCTGCACAGAGGCCATCAGCGGAGATGCTGCCTTTCGTAAATTTGTTGCCTTTCATATTTCGAAAATTGATCGTTTCTTTTGATAAAAATTAATTTATATTGCCTTACTCATATCTACATATGTATCTGTGCACATATCCGCTACCGCTGCTCCGCGTTCTTGTAGCCTGCGCTTTGTGTGACGACTGCTAATGGATCGATAGTCTGGTAAACTGTTCGGAATCACATAACAGACCCCCAGTTCAATATGCCAAATCGGTTTAAATCATTCGTGTGCTGTTTTCAAACTACCAGAAGATTACGAATCCATTTTCATATTCCATGTGAATTTATGGCTTTACATACACGCATACATACATTCAAATGATTGTATGTGCTTAGGTTTGTATGCATTCATATGCATTTTACATTTACTTGCTCTGCATCGGAAACTGTTTGATCAATTAATCGGAGGCACCTGCGATTTAGTATTTTTTTGATATTGTCGCATACATTTTGATGCGGTTGAATCGTTTTTTAAGAAGTCATTTATTTAATACTTATTAAGTTAAACCTTTCTCATATCACTTCAATTCATACGGGGAAGAAAAAAGTGACTAATAAGTAGGTACGTTCATTTCATGTTTAAAATTTAGGACATGATGCAAAAATTACATTTAGCCAACACATATATATGTATGTACATAAAGTCACTCAAACAAGTCTTCACGTGTTGATTTTTTTAATATTCACAATGATTTTCACCCACAACTTTTCTTTTTTTTTGTAGTTTAAAAAATTTCATCGAAAATTCGAACTTTTTTATCTGAATATTTTGGATATGCAGTTTTATAGTCCTAAGAATTAGCACTGATTTTAAATCATTTCTTTGCCGCCGGTATTTTGGTTTTTTTTTATATATATATAAAAAGTGCAATTTATAAAAATTTAGGCCGAGACCAATAAACTTCGGCAATGATCTCTCTCATTTATGAGATTGCGCCAGTTGTATATCCCCAGTGTAGACAGGTCCTCCTCCTGTCCTTGGCCCTTCCATTTTGTCCGTGGGCGCCCCTTACCATCGTTGTCCACCATTGGTGCCTAGTCGAAGGATCTTTTCACTGAAGTTAGCTGTGGGCAAATCAATTTACAGGGTTCAATTTTCATACCATTACATTTTTTTAATAAAAGCTGAAAAAATTCTTTATCCATCGGTGGGAGCCGCTTTTTGAAAAAGAATTTCGAACTTTTTAATTTTGCAATAAAATTTAAATTTGTTATTTGTTGTATTTCTTGTTTTGCCGGTAAGTGCTTTGTCTTGTCCTCCTTCATCGCTGGAACAACCTCTTTAGCTTCTTTTTCTAAGCCGGAAAATACTGCGCTGACTTCCCTGGACCTTAGGCCGACGATGTGAACATCCTCTGTATATGCCAGCAGCAGCGTGTCTGGTGCCTTTGGTATAAACTTTATGTAGCAGGTATGAAAAAACTCGTAACTTCTACAGTTTTGGTGTTTCCATTCTCAAATTTTTACAGCTTACTCTATAAAAGTTTGACAACTATGCAGGTTGAAAAAAAAATAAAAAAATCAAAAATTCGATTCATGGAAAGCCGAGGTAATTTTGATACCTTAACTGATTTTCTGCGACAAATAGTTTCTTAACTGCAAACAATTAAAAAAAGATACTTCTCGTTGAGTTCAAAATTTCGGGATTTTTTTTCGAGATTTTCGAATAACATGACGAAATAAAAGAAATAGGTGTCTTCTTTTCGATAAAGAATGTAAAAATATATATTTTACCCCAAAAAAATATTGAGGTGTAAATATTGTATGGAATGACCGATATGTAGTTTGGTCTCAAACGTCGCGGAGAGGTCCAATATGACTGGCTGAAAGTGCAAGATTCTAAATGTCGCGAAATGTGTGTGTAACTAAGTGTTAGTAAATACTAGACACGTCTAATAATAAGCTTTAAAGGTTTTTTCGTCGAAAAATTACACTAGTAGATAGGAATCAAAGAACGCAAAAAGTCGGTATTTTATGAATCGTTATTTCTTAAATTAAAAATTAGAATGCGCATATCACGGACTTAACAACGGTGCTTCAATGATCGGTTTTTATTGGATTTGCCTCCATGTTTATTACAAAGTTTAGTAGTACACAGGAGTTGTTTAAAATGGGGTTTCATCATGCTTGCCAGTCCTTTCAGAGTTTCGAATATTCATATGATTCCATGCACTTTTCATTGAGTTTCGGGAGAGTTAAGTATCTTGCGGTGGCAGTAGGCCGACTTTGAGCCTCTTTCAGACTTAAGTGCTTCGGGTTAAAACTAAGCTATGTACATACTAAATTTCATTAAAATTTAATAACATTTTCTATTTCCGCCCCCCAGTGTAGGGGTCGTCGCAGTTTTCCGATCTAAGCAATTTTTCAGATTTCTTCATTCCTAAGCAAAGAGACTAGAGATACTAAACTAGAGCAAAAATTATTTTATATATTTGTTTGCTCAGTAATAAAGAATAAAGATTTCCATTAGCTAAAATTTTGATGTTGATAAATATTTTAAGAAAATCAGGAAAGAAGTGTGCTAAGGACTCAAACATACGTTCTGAGTTGAGAGTACTATTGTCCAGTTTCATAACAAAATGGATGCAAAAGCTAATATAATTCGCTTTCAAGCAAAAATATTGCCATTGGGCCACAACGGATTTCTTCCGCCAAAATACATCTGTTAATGTTCTATTACACTGTGCGACAGTAAATTGAATATACACAAGACCACGTTCTCGAACAAACAAAAAATAATTACAAGACCATTTTCAATCCTAATTCCTCTTTACGAAACAAAAAAAAAATGTTTTATTTTTTTAATAAAAAATTATTTCTTTCATTGGATACCTATATTATTATTCTTTATGGCACTGAATTTTTTAAAAAATTTTTCGAATTAATCATATCTTTGAAGTTTCAAAATCCTTAAAAAAAATCCTGGCGGCAGAAAGAAAATCTAAGAATGCAGTTCTACTAGATTAGGCTCTTAGTTTCGTGAGTACATAAATTTCTTAGTGAGCTTTGAAATTTTTTGGTTTTTGTCGCACGGTGTTACAATAATCTTATAGATTTTCAAATGTAAACATGTTTAAAAAACGAAAAAATTAAATTGTTGCATTTTTTATGATGTGTTCGCTGCTGTGTATCCTTGTCACTATTATCTATTACTTGAACAACAAGTAAATTGTAGTGCTATTGAAGATCTTTGATAAGAGACGTAGTAGAAATCCCTACTCCAAGCCAAGTTATAATGATTTCGAAACCAAACGTCCACAGTACTCGGAATTTTCTTTCATTCCCGAAATGTTTTTTTAGCTCTGTCAGCTAAAAATACATCCATCAACGCGAGTTCTTAGCCACTTGAAAAGTGCACTTTATGATACTAAAATTTAATGAGCTATGTATAAAGCTGCAAGCCCAAATTTTCTCTCAAAATTCTAAAAAAAATTATTTAAACTTTTGGTGAATTTTTTTTTTAATAACATTTCAAATTTTACAAATGTTTTTGTGAATTTGTTTTCTTTTTTTGGGGAACCCCACAATTGATGGGAGCATTGATTTTCTTCAACATTACTACTTTCTCTGCTTCTTTCACTATTAATAATATAAACAAATCAAAATTCAAAAATCAGGCGCAACAGGTCTCTTGTACAATTTATGGACTTTATTCAAATTGGTTGTAAAATGAAGGATCTGGGGATTATGAACAGTAAGATGGGTTATGTATGTATGTATGTATGTCTCAACGTTTACAACAACATTTTCCCGTAAGCAATATTTTAATGAAACAAAACCAAATGTAACGTTTTTTTTAATTAATGGCACTTTATTGTTCTTTTTTCACGATCAAAGTCAATTATTGTCATTTTATTTACAATTATATTAATTATTAAAGTAATGCTATTATTGTTTTTTTTTTCTTTTTGTATGAAAAATACATCCGTAAATATTTGAATGCATTGTTATTATCGATTGTTTTATAATACGGTCATATTCTATACTAATTGTTAACTTTACTTCAAAGGTACTTGTCGAAAAGCAAATTCCTTTCAGATTGCCAGATTGAAATGAAAAAGCGAAATTTAATTAGATTTAAAGAACTAAATATTCTAGAAATATTTGCACACAATCTTGCCAACATTTATCGGTTTGTTATGAATGGTGCATCGCTTGAACCGCCGCCGTTTGTTGTGGATGTGATTGATGTTGCCGATGCAATTGACCCCACATAACGCCTCCCGCAGCCATCATACTACCCGATGTGCTATCCGCTTTCAATTTGACGGCTAGTGTATCGCCATCAATTTCACCACGTTTCGACTTGTAGCGTCGATTTTGAAACCAAATTTTCACCTGAGTAGGCGATAAATTTAATTTGTGCGCGATGACTTCACGCTCGGCTGCAGTCAGGTACTTTTGCAAACGAAAACGGCACTCCAGCTCCAATACCTGAGCTTGTGAAAAAAGAACGCGTGGCTTGCGTTTACAACGTGGTTTGCCATTTTTACGAAGCTCCGAACGCGAGGAGGTGACTTGTGAAATATCTCCTGTAAGTAAGAGAGACGTAAAAAAACAAAAGTTATATGAAATTAGGACAAAATTGAAAATCGTGTACTTTGTGAAATAAAAATATCTTTTTTTGTACTTTATAAATTAGTTTGGCCAAAGCGTTGAGGGTGTTTATGACTATACATAATTTAATTATGTCAGTATTCCAAATTTAATTTAGAACTCACTTTAATCCAAAACCAGGGACCAAAGTTAAAAATTATTTTCTAATTAAAAAAAAAAATTAAAAAGCTTTCAACTATCATTGAACAGTTTCGAGTTTATATATTTATGTGCATGGTTTTTCAGGTCCTGTATGAATATGTTAAACAAAAATTGAGCGCTACACAATGTGTGTGACATGCGCCACATATTCCGCATATTTCTACTTTAAACTTTTTAAAATTGCTGAGAAAATTTCATGTTATTGTTAGCCGCTGTGTATACTTTTTATAATTTTTTTTTTGTAACTAATGTTTATAAAAGTCAAGTTTTTACCCTTAGCTTTTCTTACATATTATTCAAAAGATTCCAGATGCCTAAAATATGCCAAAAATTAGTATTTTGCCGCTTTTAAGTCAAAATATCTCAAAAACTGGAGCCAAGCCAATATTTTGATTTTCATATTTTTATCCTACGGAAAAACTCCTATAAGAACAAGATCGCAGTTACCCACGAACGTGTACGTAGCGTAGCGTAGAAGCACGTAAAAATATATCAAGCTTGCTGTTGATAGAAAGAGAGAGAAGCAACGTCTACGTTACGGTCATTGCGGTGGTGAGTTTTTGTTAACACGCAGATCCCATAAGATAGATCGTGTCACTTTAAAGCTGAAATTAGTCAAGATCGTAAGCCCACCGGTACGTAAACCCGAGTCAGCTGACACGATCTGTCTTACCAGAGCGCCATGTAAATGAAAACTTAACACCGCAGAATTTTTCTGTAGTTGTAGCCCGTAGCGCAGAAATATGCGGATTTTAGATTTTTCCGTGTCAGCTGATTTCTTCCTTCTATAGATGGTTGCCACTTCGTCAGTTTTGCAGATGGTAAAAAAGTTATTATTTCCTATTCAATGCGTTTAAAGTATTTGAAATTTACTATTGTATAAGGCTTTTTGTTGAAAACTAGGTAGTTTACATTTAGCTACGATCTATTATAGCACGAAAAATTGTAGTTGAAAAGTTAAGTTTATGAAAGGTCATTGATGAGTGGCAACACTGTAGTAAGCAACACTGAGGACTCCAGTAATCGACAAAATTCTGCGTATACAGACTGCGTTTAAGTATACATTCTGCGTTCTTGACTAATTTCAGCTTAAGGAACACTTTCCGTGCCGCAAACACGTTTTAAAATTCTGTTAGCCTGTGTTTTTCTTGTAATGATCCGATTGTTAGGCGCCTGCATCAATGAAATGTCTACTAATATCTGCTTATAACAACTTTATTGATTTTAGTGTTAACTTATATAGGTTTAAATTATGCTTCTTTTCATAATTAAATTAAATTTGTCAATTAGAGTGCAACGCATTTCCACAAGGTATTAAATGGCACAAATTGTACTGACAAAGTTTGGCATCAAATGTCATTACCAGGGAACGGATTTTTAGGACCTAAAAACCTATAAAAAAGGCAAAATAAAATAACGAAATAGGCTGGAAAAGGCAAAATGAAATAGCGGAAAAGGCACTAAGGCACAGAAAATACGAAGAACAATCCAAAAATACATTTATTTTAGAAATGTTTATATTACAAGTAAGAAGAGAAAAACTATGAACTAGTTTCATTATATGAAAAATTTGTACTTTGAATCTTTGACTATTTTATCCTTTCGAGTTTCTAACTCATAAAACTTTAATCTGTATAGTTGTAGTAACATTGAACCACAGGATGCATTTTGAAGTTTTCTGGCAGCATTTTGATTCGATTTTCGCGAAGAAAAGCCTTGAATGTACTAAATGTGCGCTCGACGTAAGTTGATACAAGTGGAGCCCAATTTAAATATGGAACGTTTGAAACGTTCATATTATCAGAAATAAGGGCGTTTTCCTCGCCCCTTACAATTTTATCCACACCCCTTATTGTCTCCAAGCCTACGTTAGCTGAGAAAACGGCGTTGAATTTTTCCAATACCAATTTGGCAAGAGGTCCCTGCGCTTCTATAAGCCGCATGGGCATGTGTATATTTTTTAATCTTAAAAAAAAAATTGTAAATACTATAATCACTTTTTTAAAGGTAGAAAAGGCAAATATCTTAAAAAATGCAAAAAGAAGCAAAATCAAATGTGTATATATGGAATCAGGGAAAGCTAAATCGTGGACATTCTTAATCGAATATACTCTATCTCTTTAGCAGAAAAAATGCAATTTCCATAAAATCCGTTCCCTGGTCATTACATTAAAAAATAATCATTAAATTCGTTTCCACATGGCATTTTTAAATGGCTCCAATATAGTGTCATTCCAATGCCTAGTGGAAATTCGGCATTATTAGCATGATTACTTTCTTTGTGGACAGAAAATAAAAAATAAGATGGCGGGGATTCCACCACACCGTTATTTTTGCAAATAATGTCTTGTATTTATTGCGACTAGCCTCACAGTATTCGAGGTGATTATAAATTTTCGATCCAAATTTCACTACACTTATTGGAAACTGCCGAGCCTAGGTAACCGTGTAAAAACTAAAATTTTGCTAAAAGCAAATTATGAAACAAAGTAATGGAACATCAACTACCTATAAAGAACACTCTCAAAGGAGGAGCAAATAAGAAAAAAAAGTCTGGGAACGTTCTATCAGGGAAAAGAAGTTTTAAGAACTTCACGTTAAGAAAGATAAGGGCGTCTGCGATGACAAATCGTTTCAGTGAGATCCACGATTGCCACGAAGCCAGAGGAAAGCTGGAACATTTCAATTTCCGCATCATTTATCATTGGGGTGTATTGTCCCTTTATGGAATACATTGACTATTATTAAACAATGCGATTTTTCCTATATAATATAAGTACAATAATACGATGATTCACGATACATAGCTTTAAGAGGTCTAAAAAAAAATTCTGGAATAGTTATTCTTTTTATCAATGGTATTGTGGCTTATTATTATTTAATTTTTAATATTGTTATTGAGCTTTGTATCACGATTATTTTTGTTAGGAAAAATGGAAAAAGCAACAAAGTCTAAGCGGTAGAAGTTATAGCAGTTTATTCAGAAATCACCACATCTCCTCATCAGACTTCTTTTTTTTTTGACTTTACTTGAAAACAATGTTAAAAATTATTATTTTTATTCAGCTAATAAGAAATTTGTGTAATTCGTTAGGTATTTCTGAAGCTTCAATGACGCAAATGTACATACATATGTTTGTTGTGAACGAATTTCTAAATAAATTATATCTCTCAATGCATTGTCATTGTAGGCGTAAGTGCTTCAGGCGAACATTTTTTGTGTTGTAAAATTTTCTAAAAACAAAATTACTTTATGAAAAGGATTTATTCAGGCGGACTCATTTTATATTTAAACATTTCAAACGCCTGCAGTGTTAGGTATGAGAAACATTTTGTTATCGCTTTCGTTCTTCGCGAATGGTTCGGAGGAGATTTGTTTCAATTTTTTACCTGTCAGAACGCGCCTGAGATTTTTATACCCATTTTGGATTTCTTAGAAATGTCCCCGAAAGTGATGTTCGCATTTTGTTCTCTTTGGAAACGTTTGTTCCCGTTGAGAACGTTGTCGACAGTTTTTTTCTCCCTTACCACTTACCTTCTTCTGAAAACACTCCCGCAAGTTATATTCTTATTTCGATTCGGTTTTTTTTTTATTGTTCCGGGTTAAAATTTGTTTCTCAATATATTTATGCTTATGTTTAAGAAAAAATCTTCAAACTTACTGCGCTTAGAAATGCCACATTCGCCACTGGCACCTGCATTCGCCGCCGCATTCTCGCTTGATCGGTGAATGTTGTCCGAAACATCCTTTGGTCCGCTCATTTTTCCATTTAAGCCGCCGCTCCCACTACCATGCGATATTTGCTGCATGGCCACATTATTGTTGGCAGACTCCAGTATATTTTGGAAAGATTGCTGCGACGCAGTACCCGCTTTACTGCTACCGCTACCCTTCGGTGATACAGTCGTTAATTTGGCGGACAAAGCTGATGCCATGTGTGGATCGCCCACCTCTGTGGAGCTGTTGAGGTCTAAGGTGGGCGATGGCGTCACGTATGGCGTGGAAGTGTAATCGCTTTTACTGCTGGCGATCTCGATACAGCCGACATTATTTACGCCATTCATGTAGCCATCACTCGAATGTTGGTAATTGTAGTTATACGCTGTGGCATGAGTGGTGGTGGTCCCGCCATAAGCGGACGCATTTGGCGAGATACTACTGCCACACATGGCATTGCCATTGGTCACGGCAGGCGACGGCATATACCATTGTACTGCGCCGTAATGCTGGTAAGGAGGTACAACATGGGGTGAGTGTGCATGCGTATGTGGATGGGGTGGCGGCGGCGGCGGCGGCGGGTGATTATGCGAATGCGGATGGGTGTGGGGATGTGCGTGCAGGTGCGATGGATAAGCTGCGGCGACTGCATGTGCGTGGGGAGAAGCAGTGGCGTAATCACCAAAAGCCACATGAGAATGATGATGATGATGATGGTGATGGGGGTATTGGTAGCCGGAAGTGGATGCACCGACGGCCGCCATCGTCGCCGCGGCCGCCGCTGTCATTGATGGCACTTGAAGCTGCGGCATAGCTGGTGGCGAAGTCAGTGTGTCCTGGTAACTTTGTGTTTCGTAATCGTTGACGCAAGATGAGGGAGTCGGAATGCTGCGCATAGAAAATAAAACAAAAAAAGCGGAAAAATCAAGAAAACGGAAATAAGCATTTAGTAGGAATTATAAGAAAATACAAACGACGGGACTGCTAGCGTCACCACCCCCCCGCAGGCATAATTAATGCAACACATATGTATGCGCTTATAATGGCAACGTAAGAATATAAATTCCCATGTGGACGCAGCAAGACATCAATCGATCGATGTACGGTTAGCTGTGGCGAGGCAAGAAATTTCGCAAAGTCCTATTGACTACTTGGTGACACTGCTCGTCGACATTCGCCTACACACTGTGCACCAATGTTAGGCAGCAGCACTACAAAAATAGAACGGCTTGGCACAGTCGGGATGGTCCAGTTCGGATGCATGCAATGCACACATGTTTCAAATGAAAGCAGCGAGCTGACCATACCAACTTGCCGTTGAACGCAGGCGCATAAAGTCAAAAATACACAGCGGTCGTATATACATACATACACAGTTACCTACATCTGAGTTGCATTCTTCTACGTTGGACAAAACCTTTGAAGACAAAAACGTTCATCATCTTCCACGCAGGCGCCCGCGACCCAACTTTCTAACTACCACTCCAAAGCAGTAAAAATATGTCAGCAGTGCGCATATACTATGTAGAAAAAAAAAAAAACATTTAACCACGTTTTTATTTGCATTTGCGTGCATATGCCTTCACTCGAATGTACATATATTTGTACATACATACATATGTATGTATGTACATTAGACTGCATCACTAAAAAAAATTGCGGTTTTCCCGCCGGGACTTCCAATAAAATATTTCGATAAAATATTAAGATTTACGTAAGCTGCGCCGTTTTGAAAATAACACCAAAAATTTTATTTTTTTTATGACGACAAAACAGTTTAAGTTTAAAAAATTTGCATAAAATTAATAAAAAAAATGCCTTACGAAACTCCTTTCATTATATTTACGAGTGGTTCGTAAAATCTTGTTTCGTTGTAAAAAAAAACGGGTTCGTATTATGAATAAAAGCTTCGTTGTACAAAACCAAGCCTACGAAAGTTTTTCGTAGCATTTTTACGAAATTTTATTATCAGTGTATGAGGTATCAGTGGAAACATATTTTCTCACTCTTTTTATTTCTTTGCTAAGAAACTAATTCGCGTCCCAATCATTTTTTTTTTTTGAATATCAGCATCTTAATTCTACTTGGAACGACGCTCATTCGTCCTACCTTACTCTTTCATACTTTGAATGAGTTTATTTGCAAAGTCTAGATCGGTAAAATTTTGGCTGAGTTATTTAAGTTTTTCTTAAACCGATCTATAAAAAAAAATCAAAAACAGCATAAAAAATCTCATTATAAGATATGATTCCGTTGAAAAGTTTTTTTTTTAATATTTTTTTGAGCTTAAACTGTTTTGCCGTCCGAAGTGTTTTTTTTCAAAAAATGCTTAAAAAATATATTTTTATTCATAAAAAACTAAATTTTCGAAAGTATTTTCAAATTGGTCCAGTTCATGTAAATCTGAAATTTTTCCGAAATATTTTGGCGCAAGTCTGCAAGTATAATAGATTTCAAGATTCCAAAGGAAAAATAGTACCAATTTGTTTATGAGGAGTGATGCAGTCTAATGTACATACATATGGAAGTATGTATGTATGTATGTATATCTGTATGCCCATAAAGGTTGGTTAAAAAAACACTATCGATGATTTGACAAAATTTGCCGAGTTCCCTCAGAAAACAAAAAGTTTCACGAATATGAAAAAATAACAAATTTTCTTCTCCGACGTCTGCCCTGCGCGTAATAAACTATGCTGCCGTACAGTGATGAGCAGTGCCTCCATAAAACAAACACACGTATTTGCGTAGGATGTTTTCCTTGCCGCTCGTCTCCCCCGGTCTTAGTTTATTTTTCTGATCTAAAGACTTTAGCAGACCTTTCCATAAAAAGACCTACATACATACATACATAAATATGCGAGTACTTGCTTTTGATTTTTGGCTGATGTATCTATGTATGTAGCTTTGTGTGCATCCGTTTTGCCTATGAAAACACAGACTTCGCTGGTAAGTATGTATCTGTATATGTATGTGTTTTTTCATTGGAAACTGGTCAAAATTGTTTTTTATAAGGCGTTATTATATGTAAATAAATATAAGAAAAAAAAAGCAGCCGCTTTATTGAATGACAGCTTCTTTTCTTATGCTACCTGACAGTGTAAAAACATTTGAAACATATTTTACTGTTGATGACTGTAGCACAAAAAATTAGAGAAAAAAGTGATATACATAACTTCTGTTGAAAAAGTACTCGGAAAGGTTTTTGTCGTCGTGTACTAGAGTCCCTTCTGATACGCTATAAACATTTCCAAATGGAGTATTATACGAAAGTACTGAGGCAACTAAGAAGAATGTTCGTTTCGGTCGAAATAAAGAATTGGGACAAACACTTCATAGTTCCTTCATCACACCTAAGTACTGCCTTACATTGCATACTGTAGTGGATTTAAGATTGGGAGGTTGGCGGTTCGGGTTCGGCTGAGACCCCTTTCTTTTGATGACGACCAAGGCAACGTTTAAAGGACTATGATTTGTGGGCTTTCACCTAGAATACCCGGATCCTTAGTGGGGAAGGTGTCTGTGCCCGGCTGGTTGATGTCCTCCTGAAGATAAAGGCTCATGTCACTGCAATTTAAGAAATGCGATGGTCGGGACAAGCCAAAAAATGCCTAGAGCCTTACGATGTCCATTTCAGCTGACATGTGAAGGAGCTCAAATTCGGTATGGAATTTGTGGTGGGATGGGGCTCCGTCGCCGAGTACGGACGATCTCCTGATATCAAAATCTTGCTAGGCAACTTCAACGTCAGGGTGCGCAAGCAAGGGATCTTTGGAACCACAGTCAAAATATTTAGCCTCCACGAAGAAACGTCCGAGAACGGACTGAGGTTAATCGACTTCGCCGGTGCCTGAAACATGATAGTATACAGTACTAGGTTTAAGCATAAAATTATCCATCACGCTACGTGGCCGTCTTCAGATCGAAAAACGAAAAACCTAATCGATCTTGTTGAGATAGACGGAAAACGCGCTTCCAGTGTTTTAGACATACGAACACTCCGATACATATCTCGGACCACTATTTTGTTGCAGTCAAGATATGCACCCGCCTCTGCAAAAAATGTGCGCCCAACAATGCAAGGAAAGCTCAACGTCGATAAGGTGCAATCACAACAGCCGGCCAATTTATTCGCTACTCGTTTCTAACACCTGCTTTCAGAAAGCAGTCTTCAACAAACAGTGGCGGATCCAGCGGGAAGGTTTTGGGGGTAAAACCGTCATACGCGAGCAATGGAACCACATTTCCCGCTTATTAATTACCGGCGCCAAAGAAATAGTCGGGTTTCATCAACTCTTTTGAAGAATATGGTCATATGAACGCATGCCCGACGACTGGAATTGAGGTGGGCTCAACCCAAATTCACAAGAAAGGTGACCCCGTCATACGCGCCAACTACCGCGGGATCAGCCTTCCATGCATAGGTTACAAGGTATTGTCGAGCGTGCTATGTGAAAGAGCCTTGCAAATGTGGCTTTAGACTAGGCAAATCATCTATAGAACTGATATTCAGAAGGTTCCAAGTATTGGAAAAGAATTGCATACAAACATATTTGTCAATTTCACAGCCATTTTCGGCAGCACAAAAAAAAAGTTGTCTCTATGCCGCGATATCTGAATATGTATCCTCGTGAAACTAATACGGCTGTGTAAAATTATGTTGATCAATACCATCACCTCCGAGCCGTTTGATCCCATATTCTGTTATGCCTTCTCGGAATTAGATGGAAAAGCAAGGCGAATGGGTGTGGTTGTGAACGAGGACAAAACGCAGTATTTCCTGTCATCAGACAACAGTCAGAGTACAAGCGTCTCTGCACCCAAGTCACCGTTGAGAGCGTTTACAGCTCCAAACAAGAATGTTTTTGTTGCAAAAAAAAACGTTTTTAATGACCTTCGACCTCTTGTAACATCTCTAGTGGCGCTCAGATCGATTGAGATTTTTGGTATGCTATTTAAAACCTCAATTCAATGGAATAATCGTCATCATCTGACTTTATAGATAATAACGATTTTTTATGGGAGAATGGTTGAAATATTTCTTCTGTTGTATAATAAAAATTACAAGCCACTTATATATATGTCATTTTTTAAATACGTAAATACATGCTTATTTATGGATACGTTCCGATGGATTTTTCAATCCTTTCCGGATATCTTATGCTCTCTTCATTTCCACAACTTTGAACAGGGGACACACAAATAGTTTTGTGGATGTTCCGATATGGTACTACTAAATAACTTCCATGTTCCGTGTTGTGGCAAAGTCGATGAGTCTCTATCTGGTGTCAGAGAAGTAGTCCATGTTTCGCGTGTGTGGGTCGCCAAAGTTTATGTGGCAATTAAAAATTTGGAGAGTTTTTAAATATGCTCATTTATACAGCTAGCCGCTTGGCCCATGACAACAGACGCCCGATTGTAGCCGCATCTACAGCTGAACAAACGCTGCTGACTTTAGGAAGCCCTTTAACCGAATAAGTCGAAGTGGCCCCAACGGTCATTTGCATAGCACATCCCTTTGTTCACATGTTTTTTAATTTGTACGGGTTGAATATACTACATTTTAATACAAAAATTAATAAACATTCAACAAATAATAGGAAGACTGTAAATACTGAGGATCGAAAGGGTGTGATATTCAAACGACTGGAGGTGCCCATTGGGAAAATGTAATGTATAGTAATCGAAAAAAATAATCAGTAAATTAACCCTTTTCACATTCGAAAATGCATTTTTCCGCCGGGCGATGTCTTAAGAAAAGTGGGGCATTCAATTTTGCATTACCTAGTATCGAGAAATGAATGTGTTTTAATATGACATTTTTGGAACATTTTGAATACATTAGAATGCTGATTACATAGTTAGCAGTAATATCATCGAGAATATACGATATGCATTATATTATTTATCACGCATGTAATGCATTACTACTTTTCCGACTGGGTGTATGTATGTAGATATTTTTAAACTCGAGCGCGCTTGTGCACTGGGTATTATAACTTTGTTCGCATAACGATTGCTTGTAACAGCCTAAAGGAATCGAGATAGATATAGACAAATGTATACATAAATGCTCAGAATTAATAATAGAGAAGTCGATTAAGCCATGTCTGTCTGTCCGTGCGTCCATATGTCCGTGTACGCAATAACTCGAGCAAAAATTGAGATATCTTAACGAAATACAGGTACATATACAGGTTGCCCTTTATCCAAGGTAGGTTACTATTGAAAATGGGCGAAATCGGACTGCAACCAAGCCCCCTTCTTATATAATGTTTTTTTCGAAAAATGCAAAAACTGTGATATTTCAGTAAATATTGGATGCAAATGGTTGAAAATTAGAACGCGAAGTAGAATTTTGGTACAAAATAACATTGTTATGAAATTTTTAGAAAAGGAGCGTGGCCTCGCTTACTTATGATGAAATACTCTATCTTAGCAAACGCTTCACCAACCCTTACCGAGCTCGGTACGAGCCTTGCTTAGGGTCTAGCTAAGAAATTTGTTAGAAAACTTTGAAATCGGGCAATCACCACGCCCACCTACCATATAACGTTAATTTACAGAAACACGAAAACTGCGATAAATCAATAACTACTGAAGCCAATTGACTCGAAGTCGATTATTGCAATGATAACTGAGCAGAAAATTAGATTATTATAGATTTTTGGATTTCGGGAGTGGCGCCGCCCACTTATGACCACAATTGTGTATCTCGGTAACCGATTTATCAATTTCTACCAAACTTTGTGCATTTAATAACTTTGATACGAAAAAGCAATTCGTTGAAAATTATTCAAAGGGGACCAAAATTGCACGAAATACGAAAACTTCGATATTTCAATAACTGAAGGCGTTCATTTACTCCCAGTTAATACTTACAACAATTGCTTAAAAATAAATAAGACTGTTATAGACTTTTAGGTAGTTTAAAGAAAGTTGTAACGACAATAGTTGACACCTGCGCCGGGTATATAATATTCGGTTTCGCCCGAACTTATACTTCTTTACTTGCTGATTTCGATTTTTTCGATCAAAAATCGTTGGCTTAGTGGAACATCACGCCAACTAGGCAGCCGGTTCGAAAACGGCCTATCTCTAAATTTTGTTAAAAAATCCCCTATCTCAGCAGATGGTTTCAGCAGCAGCTTCAATTAGGTTTTTATTCTTTAAAAAAATTATGGTGTATTTCTTTCATTTTAGTTTAAAGTTGATCCCAGAATTTGACATGTCAACGTCACGGCGGATATAGGTAATTTTAATTATTTTAGGAGTTAAATTATTTACAGTTGACGAGTCTAAAGCAAAGGCAAACCTGCGAGTTAATTAAATTAATCGATTATTTTTGTCCAATTTATCCAATTTACGATTTGATTGTATCGTGGTTTTGTGTTTCATTCATCGATTAATTGTTAAAAAATATGAATTCTATAGTTTTCTAAAATACCGAATATTCTTTTTTGCTAGCTGCAACCACTTTACTCGACCCGAGGTTCGAAAAAATTAAGTTCTTGCGAAAGGAAATAATGTGCGCAGATGATCTTATGGAAGCGGAAAGTCGTCACTAGAATCAGTAGAAAATGAGTTCGATCTTTGGGCCCCTCATAAATCTCTTATACACAAACGAAGGCAAAATAATTATGATTTGGGTCACCCACAAGAAGAAATGAGTTTTTATTTAAATTGTCAAGTCCAAGAACTAAAGCGGAATATCATGGACGCTTGGGAGGAAATGAAAACTGTTTACCCAAAACTTTACGGACTTTCGAAAAAATTCTGTCATTTAGTTGGTACCTCGGTGCCTGCTGAACGCCTTTTGTTCAAATGCTGGTGCCACCGAGAAACGCAACCGATTAACAATAATACGTTTATCAAAACTTTTGTTTTTGCAAACTTGGTAAAATAAAACCGAAATAGTTATTGTCGCTAAAAATACTCGCTTTATTTTATTTAAGGCTAATTAACGAGAGGCTTAGAAATTTTTATGGAAATGTGTTTTTGTGCATACCTACTGTGAAAATTCGATTAATCGATTGTTTCTCTATAATTTTTTTTTTGCTTGTGATTAATCATATGATTAATTAATCGATTTTATTTTATTTTATTGTTTAGTTTTACGCCGTTCAGTTGGTCCATCGTTTCAACCAACGCATCAAACTAACCTAACCAAAGCTTAAAGAAAAATAATAATGTTTGAAATTCCGCATTATTTTCGTTTTATGTACATATTTGATATGAAGCCAAAGTTAGTGTCTGAATTGTTAAGGAAATCACAACAATTTAGTGTGCCATTTAAAGCGTCTGCAATGCAAAGAAAGATCTGGTCTTTAGCACAAATTATTGATGGACATACTTACTTATTTATGTATGCAGCTAAATTTAAATCTAAACTTATTTGATCTCTCACTAACCTCTCTAAGTTGCCGAAAACTTCATAATTCTCATTCTGATTCACTAAATTGAGAATATCCTTAACTGAAAATGGTGTTGTATTTAGAGAATCCGAATTTGTAAAGTTTGTTGGGCTTGACTGATTGTAATCGTAGTATCCTTGTGACACCTGCGATTGTTGCTGGTGCTGTAACATGTTGTTGTTATGTGGCGCACAGCACTTCTCATCGGTTGTCACTTTTAACTGTCCACTTAACAGTTTCGCACACACGTGTATTTGTTTGCATTAAACATTTCTTATTTTCAATTGTTCTCAATTGTATGTATGTACACCTGTCACTCAAGAGTCAATCACCAATCACTATTCACAAAAATTATCTCGCACATGCATTTGTTATTGTACATTTGCACGTGTATTATATTATTAGTACAGTACTCAACAGTACGGTATTATTGCAAATTGTTTTATTTATTTATCGTAGCAGCAGGCAATACCTACTAATTATTGTAAACGCGAACTAAATTTGATGCGGACTAGCCGCTCGCTCGACTGGTTCCGATTGACTGCCTTCTTCTTCTAATTAACTGTAAACCAAAACACTCAACGCAGTCGATGAGCCGTTTGCCATTTCGTTGATGCGCAGAAAAACATACACACTCGCCTGTGCATACAAACAAACTTCACTTTGAATTCATGCCTATTCGAATCCATTCCAATTTTTCCCCTTTCCATTGGCAAGCATCGAGGCAAACCCAATCATGATTTGTGAATGGCGTTGGTGAGTTTTAAAAAATGGCCACCCATCAACCAATCACAACGGTGTAGACTATTTCATTCCGTTAGTCAAAAGTGTTTCGTTGCCATTGTTTCGTTTAGCCATTGGGCGCTTATTATTATCTCGGAATTTTTTATTTACATATGTATGTATGTTTTCTGTTTCCTGTAGCTTTCAGACTTTCTTGTTACAGTTAATCAAGGTGTATTAAACATACATATAAACATTTGCATTTAATGTGGTTTTTTAATTCTCACATCTCGAAGTGTTCGCATGGTGACACTTGCAAAATGAGAAATACAGCGTATGAGCGAAAATTGATTTTCCCCTCACTAAATACCCGAAAACAAGTAGTGTGCATATACAGATGTATTTATGTATTTCTTGATATTAACCTTTAAGTACTATAGTTGGTCTCTCAGACCACGAAAATATTTTTAGATTAAATTACAATAAATTGTATACCTACTGCGAATAGCTTTTTTCGAGTCCGCAATGAGTTAATGCTTATAGCGACCAAATGTTTGCGGTGAGAAGCAGTATTGCCATTTCAGTAAACAGACGGAGAAATTTCGGGTTAGCCGAAAACCGATTGGCTAGCCGTTTTATAAAAAAAAATCCGTTCTTAGCCGATTTTGCTATTTGTTTTTTTATTTTTTTATTTAAATATCTATACATATATGTTTCCATTTTTGACTAAGCGACCCCCAAAATCTGTTAGACATGGCTACTAGCCTTATCGCAGAAAAAATTTTCATCTCAGGCAGGATTATGTAAAATTGAGCCGATTTCGCATATTTTTATTTGAAACGAATGTATTTTTTCTAAAGAAGGCCGTAGCGGGGAGTTTCTTCATAAAATGTTTCTTATGAATGTCTTAAATTCAAGTGTGAAGTTTTATTCGCAAACTTAGAAAATAACAAATTATTTCACTGTTTGCTTAACACGCGTTTGTGCTTGGATATGATGCGGACACAGAGAATAAATATTACAGGCAGATATTATCTTCCCAGATAGCGCCTGCCCAGATAGATTCTGCCTTAATTATAAAACTGGCAACACTGGTGAGAAGGCCGGTAGAAATTGCACTTTATTTGTTTGCGCGTGGCCTGTGGCACGAACATCAGCATTGACGTAACTATTTTTCGTTTTTATTGTATAATACCTACTTGTGAGAGTGTGTTGCAGGAATCTCGAGCAGTAGTAACAATTACTGTAACTTAAAACAAAATTGATTGTAAATTGTAAACATATTTTTGTGTTTTTACAGCGATGCAAGAAATCGACATTGAAAAGCCAAGAAAAAATTCTTATTAAAAGCATTCCCTAGTTTCTATTCATTGTGAAAGTTGGTAAATTTTTATTTACTTTTGTTAATTTGAAATATTTTTATAACATTATCTTTCCTTGGAGAAACAATCCACATAAATATATTTTTATAAATTCACAATAAAATTGTGTGGTCTCACAGCCCAACATGGGTTGTAAGCAGTGTTGCCACTTTTGAAAATTATTACCTAAATTGGTAGAAAAAATTTAGGTGGATAGAAAGGTAGATTTTTTTTCGTTCTGGTAGATTTTTGCTAGAGTGTTTTGTTTTAAAAACAAATACAACTTTTCGTTCTCGCTTTATTTTACGTAGTTATCTTTATATTATTAATTTCTTTCCAAAAGTGTAGTCTACTTTATTGTATTAATTTTCGAAGGCTTTAAGGCACAATTTATCGCTAAAAGACGAACATACATATCGTGCTCTATTTAAAACTAATTACACTGGAATCCTAAAGAGCGTTTATTTGCGTAAATATTTTAAATAGTTCTTTCAGAAACCCAAATTAATTATTATCCTATATATGATATTTGTTTTAAGAATTTTTTTTGTCTTTGTATAGTAATTATTTACGAGAGATACCTTTTTTCGTCTCGCGGGACGATTATTTTCAGACTGAAATTGTTTACGTCTTTTCAGTATAATTATTTGGGATTTTTATTTTTTTGTCTCTCGGGACGTTTATTTCAAGATGAAATAACAAATTTGTTTAATTCCCTTGTTTGAATAATATTAAGTTATAACAATACTAGTAAAAATACGTACATGTTTTGTGAACTAGTCAAGTAAAACTGTTATGAATTCATGAACTTGTAATTTTTTTAAATGAAATGTGTTATGGTTATAGATAATAAATAACATATTTATAAATTAAATTTAGTTTTTCTTTTGTTATTAAATTAATAATTCAATAAAAATATTTCTAGAGAAAACAGATGCGCTTTCAATATGAGTAACCTTTTTATGGTTTTTTGAAGATTTTATAATCGCTTGGAAGATTTTTAACCAAACTTTTCCGGCAACACTGCTTTCAGCTATTCTTCTCTCAAGGGAACAGAGGGAAATTAAAGTAAAGTTGAATATTAAAATAACTGACTAATCTGACCTTTTATTTTATTCCACTATACGACCTTGATTATTTTAAATTGAGAAATGGCATTGCCTTTGGGAATGCGCAGTCATGAATTATATTATTCTTGATTCGCGGCAGACTTTATTTTCACCTCGAATGCCGAAAAGGTAAGCAAAACCGGAGAAAAACTGCGAATGTGAATTTCGGTGGTATTCTCCACAAGTTGTTGGAAAATATATTTTAATTTAGAATAGATATGAATGAACGCGTAAAATGTGTTTTTTGTAAACACTTTAATTAGATTCTTACTATATGTCATGATACGTGAAGTTTCATGTGTACGCAGAACATTAGCTCTTTATATCTTAAAGTGGCAACGCTGACATATTGAAAAAGCATCTGACACAGGGTTGCCAGCACTCCTTAGCTATAAAGTGCCATATTGAGAAAAAAAAGTGCCAAAATGTGCCAAATTGCAAAATAAAAGTGCCAAAAAGGTGTCATTCTTTAGCATTAACATTGAAATCACATTTCTAAAGCAAATTTCCAATCACAAAGTTAGATTAACTAGTTGCAAATACCATAAAAATTATAAAATTTTCTAGTGCCAAGTTGAAAAGTTAAGTGCAATTTGTAGTAAAATACGGCAAACACTTGCACGGTTTGAGGGAAGCTGGCAGCCCTGACAGTTTCTGACAGCGCAAAACTTTGTTTTTACTGAATGCGCATAGACAAGATTATTCGCGTTTTAATTTATTATTATAAATAATAAAAGAGTTTAATAATAAAGGATTACAAATGCAAGGCTCTACAATGGGTTCCCACTTGGATCCCCAACTCGAGGATAGAATTTTGCATGAAGTGAAGTCTCAAGGCGTCTTTGATGAATTTCGCAAAGATTCAATGGCAGACGTGGACACCAAGCCTGCTTATCAGAATTTACGGCAGCGCGTGGAGAACACAGTGAAAAAATTCCTTTCTGAACAACATTGGACACCGGATATGAATAAAAACCAACTGCGTGAAAGACTGCGGAGACATATAAGCGAGTATGTTCCAAAGTCCCATATAGAAATGTCAACTGAAATTCTGCGGTTCACGATTACTTACTGTTGTGCTTTTTGATTAAATTTGTGTAATTGCAGGTCTGGGTTTTTGGATGTTGGAGTCGAACGTATCGTGGATCAAGTTGTGAACCCGAAAATCGGAACAGTTTTTCAACCGCGCATCGAAGAGATTACCTATAAATATTTAGGCTTACCACCGCCACCGGCCAAACACGAACCGCCGCCACCGATCATGCACCCCTTGCCTCCATTGCCGTTGAGCGGCCCACCACCATTGAAAATAGAAACCAGCAGCCTTTTACCAACTGGACTAGAGCAAGTTAGTCCTGATTCCGATAAAGCTACCGTTAAGTCAGAATGCCGAGAAGATGATAAATCTATTATGGATATGGATGTTGATGCTGATGAAAAATTAGCAGAGGACGATGATGAATCACCTCCGTTCGAACCATTAGTGAAGTGTGTGGAGAACAGTAAAACTATTAAAGCAGAACTGGTTAAAAATTCTGAGGAAGTAGTTGATATGAAGTCTCCGACTTACGACATTAAGATTGAACCGATGTTGGATGAAAAAACGGGAGCAGAACCATTTGGTAACGTAGAACTTAAAGATCCTGAAAGACAAGACACTAGTTCAATAAATATTGATACTCCGAAAAACCCTACTTCATCATTTGAAGCGGATGCTGGAATATCGCAATATTCTCAGTTATCTGCGGTATCGAGTGATAGTCGCATCTCTGATGTAACCGCAAACGCATCCCATAGCTTTACCGACACATCAAATACACATAACCCACCGCAAACACATTCGGATCAAATCGAAGTAGTGATGGAATTAGCTACGGCAAACATATCAGAAGAAGCACAAATGCCGAAATTCAACGAAAACTCCTGTGAGATGGCAACAGCAAAGGAACCAGCATCCGACCTGCATTTCGATATTAAAAAAGATGGGATTAAATTTGAAGGTATTGGAATTTCAACATTTCATTTATATGTATGTTGTACGAATTGTCGATTTCAGGCACTGAACGTAAATCAAGTAGGTTGCAGCAAGAAGGTGATGGTAGCTCAGTAATTGTAGATGAAACTCTTCCGAGGCAAGTGGCTACGCCAAGTGTTAATTTGGAAAATAAAGAGCCACCACATCATTTCGGCAATTTAACAATTGATACAATTCTCGAACATAAAAACCAAACCACGGATCCGACCACACCGACAGCAACACCCACTCCAACTCCTCATGACAGTAGTTTCGGTTCTTCACTTGAGGATTTAAATTACCAGCCATATACAGAACAATATGA